CAACTGTACAACCCGGATTCCCACCTCACTTCTGAGCGTTCAGGAGTTTGCAGCAGGTTTCTCTCTCCTGCTCCTTTCTCTGTGACTCAGAGAGGAAGTGGTCTTCACAGCATCCAGCCCGTCATGTGCTGAAAACTTGCAGAAAAGTTCTTTTACAGATAAATAAAGAACCGCTGGTGTTTTGTTCTGTCCTAAACTTTACCCTAGCTTCATATTTTTGGAGGACGTTGCATTTAGTGAGTTTGTTGTTCGCCGCGCGAGTAGCAGACGCAGCTTATTTTTTCTGAGCTCAGAGCTCACCCTGCGTGCCTGTTACCAGGTAAGGGCAGGTAGGCTACAGGAGCAGCAGCAGTTAAAATACCWCAGAAACTCACTCAAATAAGCTAATTCTGTGACATTCTGTGTTTTACACTGGATTCTGTCCACGTTTTTCGCATCACGGAAATAATGTCGCCAGGCTGACATTGTAAATAAGAAGTTCTTCTTAATGTTTTGACTGGTTAAATAAAAGTTAAATAAAATTTTAAAATAATAATAATAATACATCCCTACGTAAACTGTGAACCTTGATCATTATGGTTTTATGATCGYTGAAAACCCAAATCGTAATCAAGATCAAAATCTGATTAATCGCCCAGCCCTAGAAGAGACTGCCTACTAGTTAATGATGAATTAACCTCTTAAAGTAACATTTACATCTTAAACCTGATCACACCCCTGGAGGTGGTACCCTTTACATCAGACATTAAAATGTAACCAACTGTGTTTACAGACAAAAGGAACACAGTGAAGACACACCGACTCTGTTCCTCTGTTTAAACTATATGGCTGCACAAAGTGTAAAATATAAGACAGGATAAAAAATTCAGTTAAGTCACAAAATTTCCTTCAGTAGCATATTGAGCGCGCTCAATAAAAAAAAGTCTCCCTGCACACATTGACAGCATAGCAGACATGTTTCATCTCAAGAGTGACAAACTGTTTTCTTTAGAAAAGGATCTTTACACTTTAATAGAAAAAAGCACCTTGTTTATCTTTAAATACTAAACATGTAATATGTAAAGAAACATGATTTACCAGTGGAGAACTATTAACCAGGTGTTCTGGAGCAGTTTTAGACAGAACTGGACCAAGACTTTAATCCCCATGCGGCAGCAGGACCTGCAGCCTGGTTTCTTGTGTGTCCGGGTCAATCAGGACACTGATGACTGCGGTCACCCCCTCCCCTCTTCTAACGTTTTATTCTTTTATTAAACCCGTCGGGAACAGAACCCYTCCCCCTCCCCGCTATGATAAAAACTTAATTGCGGTTCTGTTGGAGCTAAATATCCGMGCAGCTCCATTTCACTCCTAATTGACGAGTGATTAAGAGCGGTGAATGGTTCTGGCTGATGGGRGGTTGTGGGGTGGGGTTGACCTTCCCAGAGGTCCGGTTCTTTGTTGGACTCTTACCGTCCTGGAAGACCCGCTCCACGTTCAGGCCGTAGGTGGCGCAGGTTTCGTAGTAGGTGCAGCGTTTCAGGTCGTTGGAAAGTTTTCTGGCCCAGCTGTCGTCGATCACCCTCGGGTTGGTGGAGCTGATGGCGTCTGACAGGAAACAGGAAGTACTTCAGAAAACTCTTACATTTATAACAACTTCCTGTCAACACAGAGTGGACAATAATTCAGACGCATCAGATTTATAGAAAACGCCAACATAAAACCCATTAGAGGGACTCCAGCACCCTCTGCTGGTTCCTGTTTCAGTCAGTCCAGGTCCAGTCCCCTTCAGGTCCAGGGTTTCAGAAWCAAAAAGCATTGATCAGTTCTTTATCTGACCTGAAGTTAACAAAATTACACAACAGACTCCACGGAGTTGTTATYTTTTAAACAAAAACTCATCCAGAACCCTCAGTGGTTCTGTTTCAGTCTTTCACATGGACCCATAAACTTTTCTTTCCATCGCTGCTTCAGTTCATTGAGGTTTCTGCTCAGCTCCCTGAAGGTCCCACCACAGGGTTTCAGTCAGATTCAGGTTCTGGACTGTTTCAGAACCTTGATTTTTTTATCTTCTTTTTGGCATGTTTGATTGTAGATCAGCTATTGTGTTTGGTATCATTGTTCTGTTGGATCCAGATTAGTCCAAACTTCAACTGTCAGACTAAAATATCCAGATAAAGAATCGTGAGCCCAAACATCCTGAGTTAAACTGAACTAACCTTGGTTAAAAATACAAATAAATAAATAGTGATTTGGTCAGATTTTTCCACCTATTATCATTTGTGACAAAAGCTTTTATCTTTYACAATTAAAGAACAGGAGGATTTATTGTTCTGACGATCCTTTCAGAACCAACAGTTTGRTGTTAGTGACCCACAGTGGAGTCCTGACCCAGACTTTGTGACCCACAGCTCCAGAATCCTTTGGTCTTCCCAAATCATCAGCTCTCTACCACTATGTTTGATAGGAATGTGCATTTTAAACATAAACACTCTTTGAACTTCCACTGTGACCATATTTTCCACTTTTTGGTCCTTTCAAAATAAAAGATGACGGCAGAAACGTCTTGTTTTTGTTTAATAAATAACAGCATGGTGAAAGYTGTGAGTTTTTGTTTACATGAAGTTGARTCATTTCAGAACCTGGTAAAGAAGAAGTCWGGTTTAAGAACTGAAGGAAGTGGTCTTTCTTCATACCAGGACTATAAGACCCCACAAACAAATGCTGGAGCCCCTAACAGAGCCTCATAAAACCCGACAGATATGGATCAGGTCTGCACCAGTTTCATGTATTTAAATATGCAGAAAAACTGCAGATCTCCAGGTTGAAAGTGGTCTAAGATCTTGATCCAAAGTCTTGGTCTGGTCCTCATTTCTACAGATAACAGTTTTTAGTGAACAGGCCAGACGTCAAGCTGAGATAAATTCACAGTTACAGATCAAAACTGAAAGAAAAAGCAGCTAAACTGTTGAGAACTGTTGATCCAGAACCACTATAACAGATTACAGGAAGAGCCGGATCACTGGAAGGAAAACAGAACTGAAGACTGGATCAGAAGTTCTAACAGAAGTTCTAACAGAACTGAAGCATCTCAGAGTAACAACAACAAAACTAACAATGTTCCAGCTGTAATGACAGAACCAAACCAGCAGGTGGCAACAGAGCTTCAGCCAAACAACTGGAGCTCATTTTGACACAAAAGCCACTGAAGTGCAGAAAGTACAAGTTTAAGCCCCTTGATGTCAGAGTACAGTGATGCTTGGTGTGTTTGTGTCAGACCTTGAGTCCCGACCAGAACCAGCGGCAGGTCCGAGGTGTTCCTGAAGCTGGCCAACCGGTTGAAGTAGTGATAGACCGCCTGAAAGCTCTTCTCATCCTCCAAACTGAAGACGAAGATGACGGCRTCCACCCACAGAGCAAACTGCACAAAGTCCAGAACAAAACCTTAAAAACCATCCAAACCCAAACCAGACTGTCATCTCAGAGTTTGGCAAATACTGAGGTCAAACATGAACAGAAAAGAAGCTCAGCTAAAACGGACCTGTTCTTTATAAAAACAAAAATAAACTTTAGCTTTAAATCAGAATGTGTTGGAAAAAGAAAATCACCAGAGCATGAATTATTCATCAGTTAAATGTCTGACCTGACCCACTTCCTGCCTGTTGGTTCTTGTAGTCAAACAAAGCTTTGATGCAGACGTCCAGGTTTTCCTGTGTTCAAGTCTGAACCAGGCCATTTCGTTCTGGGTCTGGGGTTTTAAAGGACCTACCTGATGCTCCGGGGGTCCTCCTTCATCTCTGATGAGCAGCAGCTGACTCTGACCATCCACCACAATCTCTTTCTTGAAGCGTCCACCTGCAGGACACCAACACAACCATCAGATCAGCTGATGCTACAGGGTGGGTGGAGCTTATAGGTTGAACAAACTGGAGGGGGTGGAGTTAAAAAGGCGACGCAGGTGATGGGATGAAGGAAACAGACACAAAGTGTTTTTTTCCTGATTCTTCTGGTAATTTTTCTCTGATGTCAGATTTGTTAAACTACGACTAAAAACTGAAACTCGGCGGCTCCTCACAAACACCCGCCTGTCTCTGTCTGTGGGAACACACGGCTCTTCCTGAGGAGCAACAGGAAGTCTGCGGAGTTAAAAATAGACCCAGCTGATCTCTGAAAAGCGTGGACAAGTCAGGGCGAGCGTCTGCAGGGATGATATTGTGGAGGTCTGAAGGTCGATGAGAAACAGGAAGTGAAGCGAAATCTTTACTTTTTGACTGAAACGGATCAAATTTAAACCTGATGTAATAATGATCTTCACAAAAATGAAGCCAGAACATCGTAGTTGTAGTGCTGCACAGATTATTCAAAATAATCAATACCGTTGATTATAAAAAATAGTCACAGTTCATTTGTGTCTGCAATGAAATATGGCAAAATGGAAAGATGATCAAATTAAAGAGGCAAAAACAAACAAAAAAAGACAAACTTTCAAAAGTTGGCTTCATTTTACTCAGAGACTCAGTCATTCCATGGCAGCACAGCGGCAGTGAAAACATGAGGACCTGAGATGCCAACATGCTGAAGCTGAGATTAAGTCCTCTGCAGATGAGTACATTTCAGAAAGTTAGCTTTTTCTTCAGGTTGATGCTTCATAGTTCTTATTTTCAGTGACTGATCACTTCATGCTGTAGCCAACTGTCTATAARYTCAGTTAGCTTACAACACAAAACAGTGTTTGTTGGAAGCGGAGCTATCAATTTAGCTAATGTTAGCTAAAGCATCAAGTGCTGTCCTGTCTCGTCTTATTTGAACTTTTGGACTGCTCATGCTGGAGGACAGGCCGCTATTTTGAGTTATTTGTACATTAGCCATTTGTTTAAAAGACTTCTTGCAGTTTAGTTTGTATTAATTTTTTTATGATAACACATTAATGTTAGAAATACATATGATTAAGCTATTAAGCTTAGGTTTTATGGGTCATTATTTTACTTAGCTATGGGAACTTATGTTAAGGTAGAGAGACTGATAACAGGCTGACATTCTCAGGTGTGAGCAGGTGAGATGAGATGTGTRTTGGAGCTGCAACAGGAGCTGCGCACACAGGAAACATACAGATGGATGTTGTGACAGAAATAACAGTGACTAATCGATTAATCGAAAAAATAAGCAACAGATTAGTCGACTTTTAAAATAATGATTAGGGGCAGCTCTACATTTTTTTTATATTAAATAGATAATATACAACGTTCTGAACAGTGAAACATTTTTTAAATCAAAAATTGCATTTAAATTACTGATTGAAAATTCAAAACATTTGGAAAAACGTTCAGAACATCACAGAAAGAATAAAGCATCTGAGCAGRAACAGGAGGTAAAGTATGGATTTGTTCTGATGATGTAGCTGAAATATGGCTGGATTTGGGTCTATGTGTTCAACCAGAACCTTTTAAGAGTTGTCCTGGTGGCCTTCATGAAACCATCATTGTAAGAGGGAGTCAGTTCTTTTGTTCCTCAGCTCTGAGCTCTAATGATGGTGATGATGATGACCATAAGCGCTCCTCAACATTAACCTGTAATATGATTCTTCAGCAAAAGGTTTAATTTAAATATTTAAAAACACTTTTAATGGTCTTTATCATCCTGTTTTATTGTAGAAACATTTCCAGGAGAAACAGAGCAGTCAATGAAGTTGAGTCAGGGTGTTTAAGAGCTCAGAATAAAGTTCAGGTTCTAAAATACACTAAAACTACCGAACTGATCATTTTCTCTTTTGTATAACAGATTATTAATCTCAAATCAGAGGGATTATGTGATGGAGAGTAGCTGCAGCTCTGAACCTGAGCTGGTCTCTGTAAACAGACCCCTCTTTGGGTCTTCAATGATCTACAGACGGATCTATAGGCCCAATGGTCTATGGATTGATTGAGTTATTGATTTATATAGAGCTTAACAACCAACTAATGTGACCAAAGCACTTTACAGTAAAAATCATATCACAAGAAAAAGGAAACACAAAAATAACAATAAAAAATAAGGAAAAAAAATGCCACTATACTACATGGTATTAAAACCTTGTCTAAAGAAATAAGTCCAGAGCTAAGACTTAAAGATGCCTAGAAGGATGGATCTACAGGGTTGATAGATAGATCTATGAGTTTATTGATCTACAAGTGTAATGATCTTTACATGGATCTATAGGTGCAATGATCTATAGTTAGATAGATCTATAGGCGAAATGATCTATAGTTAGATGGATCTATAGATGCATTGATCTATAGTTAGATAGATCTATAGATGCAATGAACTACAGTTAGATAGATCTATAGGATCAATGAACTACAGTTAAATAGATCTATAGGATCAATGAACTACAGTTAAATAGATCTATAGGATCAATGAACTACAGTTAGATGCATCTATGCGGTGATAAATAGATCTATGACTTTAATGATCTATAATGTGATGATCTTTAGATAGATCTATAGGTGCAATGATCTATAGTTAGATAGATCTATAGGTGCAATGAACTACAGTTAGATGGATCTATAGGTGCAATGAACTACAGTTAGATGGATCTATGTCATGGATTAACAGAAGGATTGATGGATTCGAGGCTTCGGGGGTTTTACCTGCATCCACGTCAGCTAGTTTATAGAAGCAGCCCAGAAAGCAGGAGCAGAGGAAACACAAAGCAAAACAAGATAAAAGATGCAGCCAAAGTTCAAACTCATGCAGCAGTAAGAAAGAAGGAGAGGATGTCATCAGAACCAGCCTGGACCGGTCTACTTCTTCTCTTAGAGTTGTGGAAGGTCTCCTTGTTTGAGAATAAATCTGACAGTAAGCTCAGGAGACAAGGTTTCAGATCTCAGTTTTACCTCACAGCTGACCGGAGAGAAGCGTCTCATTATGAAGGCTTTTATTTCTGCCAGAACTGATATTTAAAAAAATAAAAAAAAACTAATAAAAACCTGAAGCTGTGTTAGTTTTAATGTTGCCTGGCCTGATATCTTGAAACATCAAATACAATAAGACATAAAAGGGTTAGTTCAGAAATAAACAAGTCAATAAACCTAAAGCTGAAGAACAAAATTATTTTAATCATCCTGGTTGTTAAAAATGAAAAATCTGAAACAAACTGTGTGGCAGCTGCGGTGGCAAAATTCTGGCCATTTTAAAAGTTGGAACTTTTTCATGGGGTTTACCAGGAAATTATGGTAAAAACAGGAATAAACCTAGAAGTTAAAGACTGAAGAAAGAAAGACCATGGATTTTAAATTTAGCTTTTGAAATGTATCTTTGCATCATTTTTAAATAAATATACTGTATAATGAGATGCAACAATCTAAAATATGATCAACTGACACTGGACACAGAGAAATAGTATCAGTTTGTAAATATTTTGTTGTTAAATTCAATTTACTGATATTTGCTGATATAATTTAAATTTATTTGAGGAAACACTAAATGTTTATATCTTTGTTAGGCAAAGAACCAGATACAAAGTTTACATAGAAAGGTTCCTAAATGTTTCTGCACGTTTGCARCCACTTGTGRCCCACCTAGACCAGGTAGGCCGGGTCCTTCTAAGGACCCAGACACTGAATTYGAACACAGCCCATGATTCATCCACACTTGTGCTCAGCAACAATAAATCTGAACTTCTCAGGATTTTTATTTTTTGCAAAGCAACAAATCTTCTCAGAGTTTGAATGTTTCTCTCAGAGAAGTTTTAACTTCAGGGTTTAAAGCTGTGGAACACAGGAGTGGAGGAGTCATGATGTGGGGTTTTCCTCACACAGAAGAGAAATCTAYCAAAATGGACCAAGAAACTCCAGACAAATCTTTAAAACCCAACTGGAGAGACTTTTCGAAATACAAAACGTTGCTGCAAAGTTTTCTTGTTTGGAACAACAGAACCTCTGAATGACGTTTGGACCCAAACCACGATGCAGTGGGTGATTTCCCAACCAGAACTCCTCTGTCTCCTAATGGATCCCATCTGTTGCTGATGAAACATTTTCTTTTCATCTTTCTCTCACATACTGAGCTGTGGTCCATGTGTCCGACGGTCCCTGAACTCGTCRTAGAGAACAGAAAACTCCTGAGAAAAAAGAACCTGCAGGTTTGGTTCTGGTTTTTAACAGTTCAGCAGCTTCTCTCTGCTCATTAAGGCCTGTGCTCCGTCCTGCAGRCTCAGAATAGTTCTGGTTTGTGGTCTGGTGGCGCCGTTTGTGAGCCACCAGTTCTCAATCAGCGGCCCTGGGAATCCAGGCGGAGCCGTATTTTTAGTCCTGAGGAATGTGCTGCTTCCCCCCCGCTTGGTTTGTATCCACAGTGAAGTCAGAAATTCAGTTTTTCTGTTCAATCGGTGTCCCTGAAAGGAACCAAGTCATTGGATTGAAGGGAGAGGAGTGGTTCTGTTGTTGAGGTCTCAGTACCTGAAGCCAACAGGATTTGATCATGTGACCCTAGTCTGAAGATCTGGTCCATGTCTGAGTTAAGTGCCCAGTTTGCYCTGTCCGAACTGCTGAAACCGTCTCTCATCGTCCCAGTGGCGTGCCAAAAATCCTGTTATAATGTTTTCAGTTTCAAATCTTCCTCTCCTTCTGGTCACAACCCTTTGGCAGAACATTTCACCCACCTCCACATAAGAAATTACTGTGTGATTTGTCAGAACTCTGTGGGCGTGTTTGCTTATGCTCAAAGTGCCCAGAGGATGCATTCTGCTTCAACTACTTGCTTCCAGAATGCGACTGTCGTACCTGGAAGCAGACATTTATAAAGATAATCAAAAACTCATGGAATCATTGTGCTTTAACCGGGACATATTTGGGGACAAATAACGGTAGATATCAGAGTTTTGTTTTTTCCAGAGTGTAGACCCCAACATGAAGGAACCCCATGTAGTGACATATACAGCAGAGGTTTCCTAGGAGCTCGGCAGAGTGCGTCTCAGGGACCGCATGTCAGACAACAACGTGACCGCACATCGGCTTCGGATCTAATATATTGGGCCTTTCACAGTTCGAAGCCAACAGTGGGCACTAGTCTCCAGCTGTAGGGTTTTTACTAAACTTTTTGAACTGTGTGCAGATTTGCGCTGTCTAACTTTAAAAATTCTGTAACGCTACTTTAGTTGTTTCATCAAGTATTGATCATCATTATCTTTACCAGCRGAGGGAGAACGCCATCTCAAGTCAATACAAAGCATTAATTACATAATTACATATAATACATAATTACAAAGCAGTCAGTACAACCATTGTAACTGAACAGCGCTCCCTCCGATAACCATATGTTCTCAGAAGCTATATACTCTAGCTCAGTGATTCCCAACCAGGGGTACGTGTACCCCTAGTGGTGCGCAAGCATATTACAGGGGGTACATGGAAAAATTTCCATGGTGTGTAAAAAATGTATAAAAATATTACTGAGATTTGTAGGGCCCTGTGATTTTCACAATGCAAAAAATGCAGAAAGAATCGCAGAATTGACTAAACAAAATAGAATCTAGTATAAAATGCGAAATCTCACGGAATTTGCTAAYTTGTGCGAGTTTCTGAGATATTCTGGACACTGCTGCTTCCTGTACCTGCCTTTACCTGGTTTATTCATTTAATTACTTATTCATTTTCAAGACAACATTTTTATCTTTATGTTTAATTTGAGTTTAAAATAATAAAATGCCTGATAATTCAATGTTCAAGTTAAAGGGATTACTGGTAAATAAATTATTTTCATTTAATAATCAGTTGTTGTACATTATAGTTTTGGAGAATCGTCATGACATTTGACTGAGGGGGTACTATGACTAAATGGCTCATGGGGTACACAAGTCTAAAAAGGTTGGGAACMACCGATCCAGCTGACTGTCCTTCTGTTTTCATTTAAGAGACAATTCCCACAATTCTTTGCATTTACRTGGCAGGAAGCAATTGGAGCTACRTCACTGGGCGACACTCCCAGTCCCAGCCCTTCTCCACCTGCGTACTTGTTGCGGTTCTGCTCGGTTTGGCCGAATGCGTCTTCAGGTTCCACCCACACAGAACCACACTCAGCCGCGCAGTTTGTACCTCCTCTACGATGGTTCCAGGTAGGAGCGAGTACAGCACGCTTACGATTTTGACGTCAGCAGAATGCTGCCCGTGGATTAGCTCTTCGATTGATCGACAGAGGAAAAGCGTTATTTTTGAAAACGTCCTYCTCAGGAAAGGCAGAACTTGCAAACGCTTCCTGGAGAGAGGTGAGGGAGACGAAGTCGAGCAGATGTCCGAACAAACTGTCCGCCCACGGTTACACAAGCACTTATAAACAGCACCGCGACAATAGATAAATCRATAAAATAAAAACCGAACGATGAAACCTCAACAGCTTTTGAACTGATCTGAGTTCTGTGGTCTTGTCCCTGAACTGACCTGTGGTCCCTGAACTGACTTGAGGTCCCTGAACTGACCTGTGGTCCCTGTAGCTTACTGAACAGTGAGCTAGTACTTGTACTGGCCCTTAAACTTGTCTGTGAACTGGTACCTGAACCAGTTCCCGTCATGACCTGCTCCTCTGTGGTCCAGTTCCTGAACTGGTTTCTGAGCCTGTCTTTACARGTCTTTACATTTTAACATTTGATTTAAAAACTATATTTCATCAATTCACCACTTTTTAAAAGCCGAACCAGATTCAGTCTTTCTCCTATAAAAACTGATGCAGGATCCAGAAAATAGCCTGAATTCTTGGGCGGTTCAGTAAAGCGGGTCTCTGTGGTTCTGTTCAGTCTTTAATAATAGATGRAGAACATGTTGGTTCCTTCAGGCAACAGGAGGAAACTCAGCTTCAGGTTTATTCAAAGGACTTAATAAAWATTTAAGCATTCAGGAGCAAGATGGGTTTTTGGTTGGGATGCAGATGGTTCTGGATGGTTTGATTTATTATTCTGGGTCAGACTTCGTTTGAAAGATGCTAAATTGTTAAAAAGTCCTGTTGGTTTCTGTTAAAAGTAACATTTAAAAGTTTAAAACAAAGACTGAAGAAACACTGTGATGTTTCAGTTAGGAGATTTGAAGACAAAAATACTTCATACTTCTTTATCAATCTGTTTGTGAACCTGATTTAATGCAAACAACGGGAGCTGTGAGGTAAATYTGGATCACGTAAACCTGTCAAATGGGTTCAGAACCAGATCATGGATTTACAGAGGGTTCARGGATTTTCTCACCTTCAGGAGACTCCTCCTGGACATATGTTCCTGTCAGGTACCGGTGGACCAGAGCCGACTTACCACTGGCCAGATTACCCACAATGCCCTGAGGGGAAAACAGAACTCATATTTAACAGAATGGACTGATTATACATTAGTTTTAATAYCAGAGTCACATCAGAAGATGACATCATCACCTGCTTCTACTCAGAACATTGTTAAACTTTTAGATTTTAATTTTTTACACCAAACTATTTGACTTTCTTTGAACTGAGAGGGGAAAAAATTAAGTCTGGTGAGCCACTTTAAAGGGATCCATGATTAGTTGCAACATT